TGTAAATAGCAAAAATTGTTTAATAAACCCTAAAATATTATAACAATTAGCCCGCCAGACTTTAGTTAATATGAATTAATTAACTAAAAAAAGGGTTCCATTTAGAAAATGTTAACCAAAAACCCCCTTAAAATATGCTTTAAATAATGAATTCTTCGAAAACCCCTTTAAAGTAGGCTTCTTTTACAAATATTTGTCTACTCCCTAAAATAGGTTATTTGCTTTATTTTATATGTCTAGCTTTTTAATTTAATAATTTTTTTTAACGATATGCTGTTGCTGCCTATGAAACCCTTAAATATTTAATTTTATTATTATGAATTTAAGTATAAATTTGTTTTCTCTGCTAAGTTTAACAATCGATTGGGTTTTATTTATAATTTATGCAATAAATTTTACATACAAATATAATTTGAATAAAGAAGAAAGAAAAAAACATGAGTATAAACTGTAGGAATTTATATTAAATAAGCTAAATTTCCTAGTAAAAATTATGAACAGAAGAAAAAAAACCTCACATGTTTTGGGTTGAAAAAGGGCGATTACAATCATTACTACAGGCGATAAGCTAGAAGAATTTAAAAAAATAATTTATAGATTTTTTTCTTCGTTTAATTAAACATTACAGCAATGTTTTAATCAAAGCTTAGGGGAAATTGTTTAAATATGAAATAGTTTTAAACTATAAATTCTTAGAACTAAAGCATATATTTGAAAAAATATTGTAAAGACAGACAGACAGTGTGTATGACAGACTTGAAAGTATATGATTCACTTATAATATTTGAAAGAAAGGCTTTAAATAAACTAAAATTAGTAAAAACTAGTTTTAGCTTTAGTCACCTTGCCAATCACGTGTTGTTACCACATAATTGACAATTTTTTTTCCAATATGAGATAATTATGTCGAATGATTTGTATGACAACATTCTCATGTTGTTTGTCATTATTATTTCAAGAAAGTTTAAATTAAAAAAATATATTTAGCCAAACAAATGCAGTTCGGAAATTCATGGTTTGATTAAACTTTAAGAATTAATTGAAAATATAAATTTTGTTAAAATTCTCAAAATTCTAGTTTAAATCTTTGAAAATAGAATTTCACCCTGCGAGAGAGAGAAACATATACATTTTGTTTGGTATACAAAAAGTTTATCCAACCAAATAAGCCAGGCACCCGACAATAAAGTCTGGCCGACAATTTTTTTCGGAATTTCAATACACAAGTTTTCAACTTCAAAACTTTTCAAATAAAATCAATAGAATTTTCCTTAATTACAAAGTTCGAACATGAATATGTTTGTAGTAAAAAGTTAGATCGAATGTTAACCGACAAAAAATGTCTGACAGACAAATTTATTCCAAAAAGTAGAAATTAAATTAAGAGAAAGTGCATTTAACGCAAAAGGATAATTCCAACATGTAGTAGTAAAACTTTAGATAAAAATTTCAACCGACAAAAAAATGTCTGACAGACAAATTTATCGTTATATGTCAAGCAGTGAATGATTACAAGGAATACCATTTTAAATCTTTGCGAAGTGAAAGTTTGACCTTTTAAAAATTTAGTTTAGCAACATAATTGTTATATAAAAGTGGAAAAATGTGGTTAAACATCCGACAATAAAGTCTGACCGACAATTTTTCTAGAATGTCTTAAAAAAGCTTTCAACTGTAAAAATGTTCAAATAAAATAAAATCAAAAGATATTAATTTTTTCTTTTCAACTCTAAAGGACAAGTAGAAGTAAAAAGTAAGCTAAAAACATCAACCGACAAAATAAATGTCTGACAGACAAATTTATCTCCAAAAAATAGATATTAAACCTTTCAACTTTCAAGGGTAATTCCTACAAATTTATTTAAAAAAATTGAAATAAAACTTTTATTGCTTGTAGTCATAATAAATAACATAAAAATATCAACCGACAAAAAAAATGTCTGACAAATTTATCAACCATTAAATAATTGTAAAAAATACCATTTTCTAGAACGGTATTTAAGGTTCGCATATAGTTCGAGTCATTTCATAGCTTAAATCCCAGTTTTTACGTATAAAGTGTACATTTTAAAAGATTAAGCTGTGTTGAATCGGTGTGTGACCACATCATTTCTCCAGAATATTAGGTTTTAATGATATTTTAAAAAAATATTGAGTACTATATAGTGGGGAAAGTATTATGCGTTTGTGTTGATGTTTATAACATCCAAAAATATTGGCTCTACACCTACTTTAAAGCATACCAATCGGAATTACTTTCTAAGTCGATCTGTCTGTCTGTCCTTCTGTGTGTCCATGTAAACCTTGTGCGCACTATACAGGTCGCTATTTTCAAGATAATTTGATGATTTTGGCACTAGAAGGAAATGGTTAAAATCGGTCGATTATTTCGTATAGCCCCCATACAACCGTACTCCCTGAATGGGGCTTTTGAGCTCATAAATATGTTAAATGTTCTTTGTATCACTTCAAAAATCGGGAAAACTTAGTTTTACATATTTCTTAATAATATTGCTGACGTTCGTAATGATCGGGCTTCATTTGACCCTATCCCACATACAAAGTCCCCTTCTAAAATGACTTTATATTCAAAATTCACTTATAACACTAATATCACGTTGATATTCTACATAAATAACTGATGTAGAGGTAAATTCCTCTATCAAAATTTATAGGTGTAGGACCATATTAACCCCCCATATAACCATATAACCCCATTTTTAGAAAATTCCTGTTTTTTGTCAAACAAATTGTTAAAATATTTATAAATGAAGATAAACATTGAATTAAATACTTTATTATTAAAAAAATAATCAAAATTTGAAATTTACACCCCCCGCCCCCAAAACCGAAATTTTTCCATACAAAATTTAAAAATGAGGAAAAAAAAAGTGAGAAAAACAAACCCCCCCCAAATCTCGCGCTGGATTCGCGGCTGATATGGTCGTTCATGCCCCACTACAAAATTCTTATTTATTTTAAAAGTAGAACTTTTCTAAGTTTCTAACATTGAAACTCTGATTCATTGAACATTTAAAAAGCTAAGAAATAGAAAATTTTTAAAATGAAACTGAAATTTTATTTGTTAAAAGAATCAAAAGCTCGGCCTCGTAATTAGTTCCATAACTAGTTCCAGAAACGAAGTTAGATACCTACATAACTCCTTCTATTTAGACTATGAGACTAATACTTTTTGGTCTGAAATTGTTCCATATACGATCTTTAGAAGGGCTCTGGAATCAAATATTTCATCAATAATTTTTATTTAAAATTTGCTTTTAATTGAGAATTAGTTTTAGTTTTCAGTGTTATTTGTTTTTAATGATTGTTCGCTTGAGTATTTTCAAGATAATGGGTTCAAAGTAACACCCCTGTAAACTTTATTTGATGTTACTGAAATGGATTTAAATTAAATATTAATTTTCTATTGCATTTATATAGACATTTACTAAAACCAATAATTTAACAGTTTTGTCCTAACGATTGTACTGCTCTATTTAGGTTACAAGGGCTATTTACAAGCACTTGACCTAGTGATCTTAAAAAGTGCTAAATTTTTATAGAAAAAAACGAAATTTCTTATAAAACCTAGAAAATATTTTGATTTTATTTGAATATCATGATTTTTAACGCTTAATTTACATAGAAATTACCTTAAAGAAAACAATAAAATTTTGTTTGAAATACAATAAAATAAAAGAGAATAAGAAAATCTTTTGAAATTATATAAAAAAAAGGGAAAAACTTAAACAGCTTACAAAACATATGATCTCATTAAAATACAACAAAAAAACGTATTGCAAAACAATTTAATACAAATAATCAACTGAAATATTTCGAAATATAATTAAAAAACCCCAGAACCTGTTTTATTTTCATTTTTTTTTTTTTTTCAACAAATAGAATAATTAAAATTAATTAAACACAAATAAACAACAGTTTATATAATAAGTATTGAAAAGTAGAAAAAAATCACGAACAAATAAAAACCTAAAAAAAAATGATGAAAAAGTGTTTTAAATGGGGTGATGAGTGTTTTATTTGAATTTTTTTTGGTCAAACCTTAAAAATTTTTTTACTGTAGTAAAACTAACAACTAAAATACTACATAATTTTTTTTGTTTTAATTTAATATTGATTTTTTTTTTTTTTTTTGTTCATCAAAAGGTTTTTTTTTGTGTTTTCTTTAGCTGAGTTACACTCACTTTTTCTTTCTTTTTTTTATAAAATTTTTTTGAATTTTAATTTGACACAAGACACACAAAAATCTCTTTCGTTTCAATTAAAGAAAAAAAAACTGGTTTTACCCAAAAAGATTCTATAAGAATGTTGTTTTTTCTTTATTATAACTTTTTATATATTCTTATTTTTTTAATTTCTGTTTAAAATAGTTTCACTTTTTTTGTTAAAGAATTTTTAATTTATTTTTCTTTTACTTTGACGTTTTCTTTTTTATTTATAAAATTAACATAAATCCTTTAGTTATTTTAATTTTTTTCAGCTTTTTTTCATAAAGTTTTATTTTTCAATAACTACAAATACACACACAGTTAAATAAATCCATATTCATACTTATACATATGTAAAAAAAAATAAATAAAATTTTTTAACCAATTTCTACACACTCTCATTTAAATTTAAAGAAAAAAAATAGAATTCAAATCAAGTTTAAATTTAAAATTTCTTTAAAGCAAAACCAAAAACGCGCGTAATCACTTTATAAAATTTCAAAAATAACGTGTCGTGATACGTAATAATTATATTGATTGGCTGATGAATAATAATAATAAAAATAAATAGAATAAACGTTTTTCTTGTTGTAAATTGTTTAATACGATTTTGTAGCAAACAACAGAAATTAATAGAAATATTGAAATATTCTCAAAATATGCGTGTGCTACCCGTATGTAGTGATTAAGAAACAAAAAAAATAGTGACACTATATAACGTTAGAGGAGTATAGAAAAAAAAAACTATATATAATTTTTTTTGTATATTACTTTTTTTGTGTTGTTATTTTTTTGTATCTTAAAGATTAGAGCGCGTTTCCAACTGAAGGTATTCTTCGTTCCATTCACATAGACACACACACACAAAGCAAAGGAAAAAAAGCACGTTTTGCTATAGATTTTGTTTTTTATTATTTTTTCTTTCTTTTTTATTTTATTATATCAATTTAACAGAAAAGTTATTTTTATTTATAAGTACGTTCACACTGAAACTATCTCGCATGTGCTCCGTTGTTTTCAATGTGAAAAACACAACTGAAATGAGAATTTTATTAAACAACATGAACAAGTTGAAAACGGAATAGTGTGTGGAATTGAAATATTTGTTGTTGTTGTTGCTGTGCTTGCGCCCCATTGAAATGTGGTGGTTTCTGCTGTTTACTGCATTGGCTGGCTGGTAGGGTCAGCAAAAGTAGAGGGATAGAGAGCAGCATTTATAAAAACAGAGAGTCTTTTCAATTTATTTGTGAGGGAAAGAGAGTTTGTGATAAATTTCATAATTTCAAAAAATCATGTGTTAGAGATACAAAAGAGTAATGAAAAGAGAGTGAGTGAGTGTGTGCGAGTGATTGAGTGCTAGTGAGAATGACACACGACAAAATAACACCGATATCTTAAAGCAGTGTTGTATATAACAAATAATTCATTGAAGCCCATTTTAAAATTATAGTGATATTTTTTTCTATAGACATGTTATTGTATAACAGTTTTTTGTGTATTAAAAAAAAAGTTGTATATAACAGTTTTTCTAATGGACATTTTTAGTATAACACATTTTTTTCATGGAATATCATAAGTATAACAGTTTCTTTCTATAGAAAATCATAAGTAGAACAGTTTTTTTCTATAAGTATACCACATTTTTCTATAGAAAACTGTGTATAACAGTTTTTTTTTATAAATTTTTCCAAAAATCACTAAAAAATTTTTTTATAGTGTTATTTTTGTATAACAGTTTTTTGTGTATTTTTTTCTATAAATTTTTTTCATATAACAGTTTTCCTAATGAAAATTTTTATTATAACAGATTTTTTTTGGAAAATTATAAGTATAACAGTTTTTTTTTTTTATAGAAAATTATAAATATAACACTTTTTTCTATAGAAAATATTTGATTATAACAGTTTTTTTATAAAATTTTTCAAAATAACACAAATTTTCAATATAACACAAATTTTTAATGTTTTTGTGTAACAGTTTTTTGTGATTTTTTATAGAAATTTTTGTATATAACAGTTTTTCTAATGAAAATTTTTTATATAACAGATTTTTTATCGAAAATTATACGTACAACAGTTTTTTTCGATAGACAATCATAAGTATAAAACTTTTTTCTATAGAAAATTTTGTTTATAACACTTTTTTCTATAGAACACATTTTTTGTGGAAATTTATATGTATAAAAGTTCTTTCTATAGAAAATTTTGTGTATAACAGTTGTTTTTTCTATAGTAATTATTGTGTATAACAGTTTTCTTTAACAAAATTTTTGATTATAACAGTTTTTTATTGAAAAATTTGGTATAAAAACTTTTTCTCAAGTGAAAATTTTGAGTATAACAGATTTTTTAATTGAACATTTTAAATATAACATTTTAAATATAACGGCAAAAAATTTTGTGTATAACAGTTTAAAGGGAAGTTTTCTTTACAAAATTTTAAGTGTAACAGTTTTTTCTGTAGAAATTTTGTGTATAATAGTTTTTTTATAAAAAAATTTAATTATAACAGTTTCTTTATAAATTTTTCCAAAAATCACTGTATAACAAAAATTTTTGTATAGACATGTATATAACAGTTCTTTCTATACTTTTTATAGAAATTTTCGTATATAATAGTTTTCCCAATAGACATTTTTAGTATAACAAATTTTTTATGGAAAATCATAAGTATAACATTTTTTTATATAGAAAATTTTGTGTATAATAGTTTTTTTATATTAAAAAAAAAATTGATTATAACTGTTTTTTATAGAAAATTTGGTAAACAAACTCTTTCTCCAGTGAAAATTTTGAGTATAACAGATTTTTTAATTGAACATTTTAAGTATAACAATGTTTTCTACAAAAAAATTTAGGTTTATAACTGGTATATTACAGCATTTACTACAGCATATTTTTTATATGACAGTTTAATCTCTAGAAAATGTTATGTATAACAGTTTATCTATAGCAAAATTAAAGTATAACAGTTTTTCCATAGAAAACTTTCTGTCTAACAGTTACACAGAAAGTTTTAGTTAAAAATTTAAAGTGTAACAGTTTTTTCTATAGAAATTTGTGTGTATAACAGTTTTCTCCGTAGAAAATTAGTATAACACTATTTACTTCAGAAAATTTTGTAAAAAATATTGTTTATACAGTTTTATAGAAAATTTTTGTGTTTTTCTATAGAAATGTTGGTGTATAACAGTATTTTGCATATAACAGTTTTTCCTCTAGAAAATTTTGTGTATAATAGTTTTTCCTATAGAAAATTTCAAGTTTAACAGATATTACTCTAGAAAACTTTGTGTATAAGAGTTACAGTTTTATAGAATTTTTGTTTATAACAGTTTTACAGTATTTTCTACAGAACATTTTATGTTATGTTGCTATAGAAAATTTTTTATAAAAGTATTTTCTACGGAAATTCTTGAATATAACAGTTTTTATTATAGAATTTTCTTTGTAAATTCCATAGAAAATTTTGTTTATAACAGTTTTACAGTATTTTCTACAGAATATTTTGCATATAAGAGTTATTTTCTATAGACAATTTTGTGTATAACAGTTTTTTTTTCTATAGAAAATTTTTTGGAAAAAAGTTTAATAGAAAACAGTTTATTTGTCTGTATAATAGAATCTTCTATAGGAAATTTTGTACATAACAGTTTTTCTATAGAAAATGTTAAGTATAACAGTTTTTTCTGCAGCAAAATTCAAGTATAATAGTTTTTACTATAGAAAATTTTGTTGTGTAACAGTTTTTACTATAGAAGCTTTTGTGTATAACGATTTCTTATAGAAAATTGTAAGTATAACAGTTTTTCTATAGCAATTTTTGTGTATGATAGTTTTATAGGAAATTTTACGTACAACAGTTTATTCTTTAGGAATTTTTTAGTATAACAGTTTCTCCTATAGAAGGTTTAGTAGAAATTTCTATAGAAAATTTTGTATATAACAGTTTTTTATATAGAGAATTTTATGTTTAACATTATTATCTATAGAACATTTTTTATACAATTTTTTTACCGAAAATTTCAATTTTCTTTTTCTTAAACGTTTTTTTAAAAAATTTCCAAATTTTCGTAGATTTCTGCGTTTTTGTTTTTACTACATTAGACAACATTGCCTCCCCACCGAAAACTGTCTCTTTTAAAAAAACCTAAACACACACACATTCTTACAAAAAAAAAACACAACCACCTAACACAACACAAGTATTTTACGGATATTTGTACTTACGTACAAAAACGTTAAGTTAAACTTATAGATACAATAGTATCTATAAGATTTTTTTCAAAAAAAAATTTTTCGTAATTTCGTAAAAACAAGTGAGCAGAGTCATCAGAACAAGAGACGAGGAGGAAGTAGAAAAAGAGAGCAATATTTTCTTTATTTTTCAACTGTTTAAAATACACTCACTCACTCTCTCAAACACTTCCACATACAGCAAAATAATAAAACAGAATTATATAAAAAACATTTTATGATTTTTTCCTCTACATCTCATCTTCGTAAAGAGGGAGAGAAAATAATAATAAAAAAAGTAAAATAAAAAAATTCTTATCAGTAAATACCTACAGACATACAAATGAAATGAACAAACGAAATTTGTTATACATGTAGATTCATTTGTTTTAATCATTTTTTAGTATTTTTTTTTTTTTTTGCTTTTTTCTTTTTTTTTTTTTTTTTTTGGTCGTAATATTTTGTGGTAAAGTTTTTAATTTTATAGTTGTAGTTATTAAGGAAAATTTTAACTAAAGCTGATAACATGAAGTTATTAAAAGGAATTTAAATATGACTTCATTTTTTTGGGAGGGAAATAAAATGGAATTAAAAGAACTTTTTTGGTGCTAAAATGATAATTATTTATTATTTATAAGATTTAACTGGGTTATTAAAAAAATTGTTAATTAGGGGCAGCATAAAAAGTACTTTCAAAGAAGCGGAATAAGAAGTATAGTTCATAATTATGAAAGAAAGAGTTTTGATAATTATAAAAGTATGTTAGTATGACCGATTAACTTGTGTATAACAGTTTTTTTTCTTAAAAATTTGATATATAATAGTTTTTATAACAGATTTTCTACAGATAATATTCTGTATAACACATTTCTCTATAGAAAATTGTGTATATTTTCTATGTAAAATCCTGTGTATAACATATTTTAAAAGAAAATCTCATATATAACACATGTGTTATAATAACTTAGAAAGGTCTTCAATATAACAGTATTTTCTACAGACAATATTACGTATAACAGTTGCCTTTATACAAAGTTTTATATATAATAGTATTTTTAATAGAAAAACTTTTGTATAACAGTATTTTCAATAGATCTGATATATAATTCTTTATTAAACCTTCTGTATAACAGTATTTTCTATAAAATATCTTATGTATAACAATTTCCTCTGTAGACATTTTTCTATATGTATAACAATGTAGAAAATCTTGTGTAATTTATAAAATTTTATTCATAATAATTTTCCAAAAAAACAACAAAAAATCTTATAGTAGCTTTACCTAATTTTCCCTTATGCTATCATAATCTTAACCCCTTAAACGATAACACTCTACACAGCTATTAACTCTGGAAAAACTTTGGCTTATCTTTACAAAATAAGAAAATTACCCAAACAAAAATACCGAAAATATGATTAAAGAGATAAACACAGATTTTTGAAATATTTTTTTCACATTTTCTTGTTTGAATTTCTATTTGTATTAGAAAATGTGTGTTTGTGTGTGTGTGTGTCAATGTTTGTTTATCTTTCTTAAGTATTACAAATGTAAGTACCACTCATCGTCTTACATTTCCACTATTTTTTATTTTATTTATTTTTTTTCAAATTTCCCTTTTTTCACTGCCACTATTTTTCTATCAAAATATCGGTCAATAGTAATATTTTTACGAAATAACAAAAACAAAAAAAAATTAAACACACAACTTTCGTTCGATTCGTTCATATTGACATTTCTATTTTTTATTGACACAACTTCTTATTCAACCAACTAAACGCAAAGACTTATGGAAAAAAATAGTGAAGAGAAATACATAAACTATTAGTTGGAAAGTATGAATGTTCAATTCGTAGTACACAGCTACTTTTAAGGGGTGTGTATGTGTACTTTTAGCTT